CCGACGATGACCACGCGGAAGCTCTTTGCGACGGCGCCGACTACTGAACCCGCGGCGAAGAAGAGGGCCGAGACGTAGACGAGGGGTTTGCGGCCGAAGATGCTGCTCAGCCCGGCAACGGTGGGCTGGAGGACGGTGCTCGCGAGGAGGAAGCTGGTGCCGGACCAGAAGGCCTCGAGCGCGGTGCCGCCGAGCTCGGCGCTCATTGTCGGGAGGGCGACGGAGAGGGTCGTGGCGTCGAAGGCGACGGCCAGGGCGACGGTGCAGAGGGCGCCGAAGGCGAGGAGAAACTCGCGCGAGGGCTTGAAGAAGAGTTTTCCATCTTTATCGACGTGTGTTGTTCGTTTCTCTAGGACCACTGTCGGTGGTGGTGGTATGTTTGGTTTTGATGGAGACATTTTAAAAGGTTGTGATAATTTGGAGATGATTCGAGAAAGATAATTGTGATGGATGGGTAGACAAGAGGTCAAGTTGTAGACTCGATGCCTTTGATGCTGATAGAGGGGTGCTGTTATTCAGAGACTATGGACTCGAGCTGTGAATAAGTGATTCAAGAGTCAATGCCTCTTATATACAAAGCTGAGCGAGCATCCACGCTCAAAAGCTGTCAACGTCTTCTCATTCTCTCCGCCCCACGTCAGGAGATTTCTTCATACAGCATCCACGGCCAACCCCTGTTGGTAAGCCATACATACACAACATGCCTGTCTGCGGCTCAACACATGGTCGACGCGCTAAGGGAGCTGCGAATGGCCTCATGGGCAGCCAAAAAGCGGACCACCTCTCGTAATCCCGACGCTAATCAATTACTCCGCCGTAAATCTCGACTCGTCAGCATGCCCTGTTGCCTGGGAAAAGCTTGGTCCGCAGGGCTGCCGTGATGTGCCAGTCGGTCGAGCTGAGGTGGGTTTCGCCCGACGGAGGGCACACCGGCGCAATGTAGTGCAGGCCAGAGCGGCAAACACCGCGATCGTGAGTCGCATCCATTCCGACGGACAGGACGGGCGAAATGTTCTGCCGAAGGGTGCACTTCCGGGCTAGACCGTTGACGGCTCGGACATTTGTGGGTCCAAACCCGGCGGCGGACATCGCTAGCGCCGGTGAATTGGCCTGGTAGTCAGGCAGGTTTGCATGCAAGTACCAGGCCAAATGAACGATTCAAGCTGAATGGTTGAGGGACCAAATCCTCCCTTGCAATTCAGATTCTTGGTCAATTGTGTTGGCCGAGTCTTTCCGATTGTGGCACTTGCCCGAAGAAGCAAAATCTATGAAGGATTCGTCTGCGTCATCCTGCAATATCCCCATTTGCTGGGCGCTGGTCATCCGCCTTGAGTCGGACTAGGTCTCGCCTGATCCCCTCCGGTCCCAACCGAACTCGTTCGAATCTCGAGCAACTGCACGACACACCTGTCTGCTGGAACATGACTGTAGGTCTGGTGGATCTCAGGAAACGATGAATACAGCGTATGTTCTCGCGAAAAACCTCACTTTGAAAAATTGTGATGGGAAGGGTAACTTGCGTGAGATTAAAGGTCGGGGTCTCAATGTGCAGGCCAAACTGACCGAATTCTTGGGCCTATCCCCGCCCGACCTCTTCCCCGCTCGGCCGAAATTTCATCGGAGCCTTCCAGAGATCGCAGGAAAATGGTCGGCTGTAGCTGCTCAGATAATGCCCAAGGACAGTAAGGAGAAAAAAGGCGAGGGTTCTTGACCTGTCGACAGAGCCCTGGTCGTTGGCTAAGCGAAGATGGATGTGCAGGTCACGACTCATTAAGCAGACAGGATTTGAGCAGGAAATTCTCCGAAACCCTTGGACCGGCCTTCCCTGCCGCAATGTGGCCACTCAGCCGCATCGTGCCGGCTATGAACACCAAGCCAGAGTTGATTCCGAGCTCCGATGGTGGCCACCCGAATGGCTGAGACGGTCCAGCCTCCAGCGACCTTCCTGGTCCGCAGCAGCAATTGTCGGAGGAAAGAGCTAATCCTCACGAAAACGAGCAACTTGCGGGCGTTGACGAAACATAAGAAATCAATCTGCGATGGGCAGAAACTGACAGATTTACTTCAAAATTACACTTCCCCTCCTCCTTTCGCCTCATGCACTTGCTATGCTCCGTCAGTGGCTCCTGGGAAAGTGGTGTCTGACCCGGGGAGTTAGGTGAGTTGCCAAGAGAAGGCTAATTCATGAGATTCGTGGAGACGATGGCCAGTGGGAACCAAACGTCAAACTTGTCAGAACCTTGCCTTTGAACGGGGAACCCCCGCCAGACCCGAGAGTGTCGGCTTAAGTCAGTCTGACAGTGTAACTGCTTCCCTTTGATTCACAACCGCCTGATGGTGTGTCACAGACCAAGCTGCCTTCTTGAAACCGTCAGACAACTCTGCTGAGCAGAATCGTCGACGCCGACTAAGCGGATGAATGACATTCAGTCGCTTTGATGATGAAGGGTTGCTGGCTAAGTTCCTCGTGTTCTTGTCGTGTCTCGTAGAACGGCAAACTCCTAGACAAACCGGTTCACCGTTGGAGTGGGATGCCGCACACTAACGGCAAGGGACCCTTTACAGTCGTGGCCCTAGCGGCTTACAGCCTATCCCCGATCAGCTGAGAGCTGAAGCATGGCAGGCTTGAGGAGCTCGGGTCTCATGAATGTCAAAGCAGTGTCGATACTCTGCAGCTGGAGGGGACGTGCGAGTGCAGATGTGCCGGCAACCTGATAGTTGATGCCACGCGGCATTGGTTGACTCTGACAGGTGGACGTCCCTTGCCGAGCGGAGCGACATTGCAGACTGCTGCCGCTGCATGGACTTGTCGATGCCGCTTGGTTCGGCGTTGGAGCACTGTAATTCGCTTTCCGGCGCTTCGTCCTCTCGGTTCCTCAGGGCCTGAAGTCTTGACAGGCGGTTGCCATCATCACTGCCCAATCAGACATCTGACAGATGAAGATCGGTCGTTTCTGAGGATTTGCCGGCGAGTGCCGATGGAACGGCGTTCCTGTGAGCTTCATCAAGCACGTAGCAACGCACAGATTTTTCTCATGCACCGCTGGCTGGGGGATGAGAAACAGGCGTGCAAACCTTGGCAGCCATCATGACGAGGAGCAGTTCTCTCGGCAGTCTGGATTCTGGATTCTGGATTCATGCGGTGGACATGCGCGTCAGTCAGTCCGGGGAATGTCGTGGGTTGTCATTTGAATTTGATGGGCAGTGTCAATCAGATAGACGAACGTCCGAGAGGTTGAAGATGGACGTTTGAAATAAACTCGCAGCTGTCGCGCCAACGCTACATTAAAAAGTGGACCCCGCTGATCCTTCATGGACCCACTCCAGCCCAGTGCACTTGACGCTAAGATGATCGATTCATTCTCGGCCAGCGCGGGATGACCAAAAGGGAAGAACCCCTTACCAGGCAGTCCACCTTCCGCCTCGACACCTCGAGCAACAGTCCCTCCCTCCTGCCATCTACAAACACAGTTTGGCACCAGATTTGAGCTCAATAGAATCACGAAGCTTTCCGTCTCGTCGATTTGGTTACAACTTACCTTTCTCGAATACGATCCATCCAGCCTCTTGACGACGGAACGCGAACAAGATTACTAGTCCTCAGTCAATGTTCAGTCAACATTCGTCGTTCGGTTAGAATTGACAACAACCGCCTTCTGCAGGACATTTTGCCAGGCATTGCCCGCGACTGGATTACCCTTTCGGGTCCGGGCTGAACCGGATGAAACGATCTCATCACCTTCAATGACGAAGCAACTCCACGCCGTCAAGTGTCGCGTGTGGGTGGGCAAGCATCCGATTACCATACCGCTGGAACCGCCGACTCAGACAAGACTTGCCTGTCCTGCCGTCCGACTCAATGATAGCCGTCTCTGCCCATGGGCCAACGGGTCTCTTCCCGTTTATCCATTGGCCTAATTAGCCCCGTTCCGGGTCTATGGGAGAGGCTTCGTCAACACCATGACGCGCTCCGCCCCGCGGGATCTAGACACTCCGCCATGTTCCCTGCTAGGGATGTTCTTTTTTCTTCCACTCACTGTCTGTCGAGTTCCTCTCGATTCGCCGGAGCCGGGGTCGGAACCGATACTGTCACTCAAGTCTGTTCCCATCGCAGGACCCAACGGCTGCCTGCCGGTCTGCGGTCAGACTTCGGCGACCCTTTGATATGAACCACCTTTGTTTGAATGTTTGGACCAAAGAGACTTATGCCAAACTCCTAGTGGCTGGGCATACATGCGTGCTGGAGAAGATTCAATGACAATGTCCTTCCAGGCCGCCAACATGCTGGCGCGCACAAACACATACGCTGACTGACACCTGTCTGAGGTGCCATTTATCGACCGGCTTGCCGAAGAGCCGGGTTATCCCCCGGATGATCGACGCCAGGATCGTGGCCGTTGCTGACCTCTCCTCGCACATTTTGTTTGCCGTCTCAAACATTGTGCGCTCGAGCACCGATGGGAGCACCCTTGATCGACTGCAGTCCGCGCCTCGTCAGGGCTTAGCGGCGCATGAAACAAACCTTCGGGGAGGCCAGACAACAACGTATACACCATCCGCCTAATCCCAGATCACCAGAGATCGTCCTCCGCCAACGGCGCGATCCCGCTCGATCATTAGGAGTTTTCCCATTCGCTAATGCGTCGAATAGGCGCTATTGAGTTTCGCAGACGTCCCATCGGTGATCCAGCCCTTCCATCGTTCTGTTGCCAACCAGGCATTGGGCTGCTAATCAACCAGCCCTGTACCGCGGATTCCCACAATTTTGCCTGCAGTTCGTCGCTATGACATAGTGGTGTTCTTCTTTTCCCTCCCGCTTGATCTACCGGCCCTCGCCTTTTGGTCTAACCCGAAAGGTTGACCTCGGAACCTGTGTTTTTGGGACGTCGGAACCAAAACTTGTGAAAAAGAGCTCGGCCCCTCGTACCTTCCGGAGTCGGTTCCTACGATCTGTTGAACAACGACACCGCTCTCGACATACCAAACACACTACTGCAACAATGGTAAACACCGGCAAGCCATCTGGTGGCTGCAAGCTTTGCAGGGCCAGGAGGATCAAGTGTGATGAAGGCAAGCCATTCTGCATGCGGTGCAAAAAGTCCAGGCGTCAGTGTCCTGGCTATCGCGATCCTTTCGAGGCCAATATCCGCGATGAGACCGAGGCGACGATTAAGAGATTCAAGAAGTCGAGGGGTGAAGACAGCTCAGAGGACGAAGGCAAGGGCCCTTCACCAGTCTGCAACAAGCAGTGCTTGACATCGGTGGCTGGGCCAAAATACAAGACGTTCGACTACTCGAACCCGGCTGCGTTTCCGTTCCGCGCAGACGATGACTCGACCGAAGACGACGAAGACATTCCCGTGTCCCTATTTGACTCTCTCGACGAACAGGCCTCTTGCTACTTCCTATCAGAGTTCATCATTGTACCCTATACGCCCACTGCCAGGGGCTATTACCGTTTCCTTCCTCGGTTCTTGAGTCAACCGAACGTCTCCAAATGTCTCTCGCAAGCTTACAAAGCCGTGTCCTTGGCGGCTCTGGCGAGTCGACGAACCGTCAACGCAAGCTCTGCCTTATTTCACGCTCAGAACCACTATATGAGAGCTGTGAGGGCTGTCAACAAAGCCATCATGGACCCTGAGCAAGTGAAGAACGACCAAACACTTGGTGCAGTTCTCATGTTGGCGTTTTACGAGGTAATCGCGTCGGATTGATATTTGAAGTGTTAAGAGGACTAACAAATAGATAGATTCTGACCGCATCTCGGAATTCCATTGCGGAGTACACCAACCACATGAAGGGAGCAGCCATTATTGTGAAACTCAGGGGGCAGAAAGGACTCGAGACACCCGAAGGCGAGGAGATGTTCGCCATCACCAGAAACCAGTGCCTGTCAATTCACTGCCTGCCAAATTCACCAGAGGTAGCCGAGTTTACTTGGCTGCTTCACCACGAATGTCGCGGACGTATGCAACACGCCATCGCCAGCATGGATATTCAGAGCAGTCAAATCAGGCAGGACGTCGACAGAATCCTGGGTGCTGGGGACCGCAAGCCCGAGACGATTCAAAAGGTGCTTGACGCTCTCAAACGTGCCCAGGCGCTCGAGGCCAAGTTCCGCAAGCTTAACAATGACCCGAGCCCGCAATGGAAGGTTGATACTGTCGACTGGGTCATGGATCGGCAAGACAACGAACTCGACACGGCACCGTCATTCAATGGACCGATTTACGGCTTCTTCAATCTTCCGCTAGCCATCTTGCACGTTGCCACGTGGTGTTGCCATCTAATGTTGACAACCACCATCTTGCGTTGTATGGCCTGGCTGGTTGCACCAGACGACTACCGTATGGGAGAGGAGTACGAAGAGCTGAAGAGCTCAGCGATCTTGCGAATAGATGACACCATCGCCTCGGCACCCTTCTTCTGCAAGTGGAACGGCTACGGAGTCGTCGTGGCACAGTTTCCATGCGGACAAAACACCAAGCCAGATGATCCGCTGAAGGGAGCCGCTGGCCTCATGATTCTCTGGCCATTGGTCACGGCTTACACCAGCGACTTTGCGACCCCGAGGCAGAAGCGGTTCTTGAGGGGCCGGCTCAAATACCTCGCTGACGTTGCTGGTATCAAGCAAGCCAACGTCTTCCTCAACGTAAGTTTGTCCACCACAGACAGCGGACTCCTGCTAACAAGCCGTAGATGCAGATGGAAGATGTGTCTTCGCCATCCAAGGAAATTGAGCGTGACCGTAGGCAAGGCGTTCAGCTCACTTCGGATGGTCTAGAAAGCCTGCGAGCGTTTCCGTTTTAAAGCATATTTCTCAACGAGCGTGTCCATCTTTCACATTTTCATGGGACAAACCAGGTTTTTACACTCGACGGCTGAGCTTGGCATCAGCAGCACCACTCTCCTTTCACTTCTTGTACGGACGATTCTGTTTTACACGCGTTACGACATGGCGGGCATGGGGCATGGGGTGCATCGGAGGAGGTCCTCTGGAGGAGTCTTCTTCTGTGGTGTTGGGGGCAGGCGAAAAAGCTTGAAGCTCCAATGGGAGAGTGCGGGTTCTGTTTATCTGGGTTTCTTCTTCTCCAGGCGGTTTATCATGTAGCGGGGTTTCTTCATTTTCTCGGACTGTCCAGACTTTCCTTCTCTTCACTGTCGATATATCGTTCCACGCCCTGGTTTCTGTTGCAGTTTCCAAACGGTCCTTCTAGACAGTTGTTGGCACGACTTGACGAATTTGGCATGGCTTGGGTTTTTGGGAATAGCACGATGAGACGACTTTAGGGGAATACAGACGAATCTCTTTCCTCGAGAACATCACTGATATTATCGCATGACGTCTATTCCAGTGATTAGTCTTGATGCGGTGAAAACGAACCAACCCAACGAAAATCCAATACGCAACCCTCACCCAACACTCCTGACCAGAAACGACCATTCACCTCCCGCGCCGTCCAACGCCAATCCTATCCTCCCTCGTGCGGCCCCCACGGCCCCCGTCTCCCGGCGTCGGCGTCGTCTGCATCACAGCCGCACCCCGGCCCGGCTGTCCCAGCCGCTGCACCGGCGCCTGCTGTTGCTGCTGCTGTTGCGCCCTCATCATCTCGCCCTGCCGCCTGAGCAGCTCGGCCTGGTGCGCCTCGTACTCTGCGTACTCCTCGGCCGAGATGTCCGGGTCGTACGGCTGCTGCTGGCGCTGCGGCGACGACGATGGTAGTTGTTGTTGCTGCTGTTGGAGAATGCGTTGCTGCTGCTGCTGCTGCTGCGCCTGGATCAGGGCCTGGCGCTCGCGGAGCATGGCCTCGCGCGCGCGGCGGTCTTCGTAGGCTGCGATGTCCTCTGCCGTGATGGAGAGGGTCGTTGCGGGGCGGCGGAGCATCTTGGTCTAGGTTGGGGGTTGGGTTGGGTGAGTGAGGTGAGGTGAGGTGAGGTGAGGTGAAGCAGGGGGGTTGAGAGGTGACTTTGTGTTGGTTGTTTTTGCTAGGCAACACGAGACAATATGGTGTGATGCGCGCGGCGAGGTTTGGGGGTTTGGGTTCCAACGCGATCCGTTACTCGTGACGCAGAAGCCTAGTGAAATGTAATTCTGCGATGAAAAATACAATGGCGGCGATGTGAGGAGCAGTGTGCTCTTGAGCTTCCGTCGGATTAGGCAGTTGCTCAAGGTGCAGCTAGGTGAGTTTACACCTTCAGCCAGGGGACCCGCAAAGTCGTCCTTGCAAGGGGTTCTTTTACTCTCTCTGCGAAGAAGCGGCGCGGGAATATGCGAGAAAGATGCCTGAGCCTGCGAGAGATAGGGCGAAGCGGCGTGGGGTCGTGGTGAAGAAAAAGTGTATGCGTCAACGGGGGGGGCGGAGCGCGGAGAGCTGACGATGCAGTTGGTTGTCGTTGGTCGTGTTGTTGATTTTTTGCTCAGTTGTCGCTTTTTTTGGCGCGTCGGCGGCGGCGAGAAAAACACCGCTGGAGATTCAGCGACAACGGGTCACCCAACCCCCGGTCCCTTTCAGCCTGTCGGTCAATATGCCCTAGCGTCTACCTAGCGTGCGGGTCTTGCCGGGGCGATCCGCGGTGGGGGGTCGGCACCGGGGGGGTTCAAGTGTTCGCTCACGCGGGCGAGGGGGCTGCCGGCGGCTGTGGCCAATTGGGGGCCGTTGGAGCGGGACAGTGTTGGCCGTACTGTACCATTATGTTGGGTGAAAGCAGCAGCAACAGCAGGCAGCGAGCAGGCAGCTCAGCCCTAAGAGAAACCCATCATGGCTGCTACCCTCAGACTGTACCGCCTTGTGATCGACGGGTTCAACCAGACTTTCGTTGGTCGCTTTGCGCAGAGGCGAAGATGATTGTCACGTGGCTAAGTGAAGGAAGAGAAATCCAGCGACGATCGAAACCAAAGTAGTTTTGACAGCAGTCACAATCACACACACAGGACCATTCACATCATGTATCAGAGAGGATTCGAATTATGCATTGTTTTCATTTGGATTCGTTCTACCCTGTAAATGATTGTCCCTTTCCCTTTAATATCCATGAACCTCGTTCCGTCGTAAATTTGTATGATATCGTGTGCATCCCATTCTCAATACACACCCGTAGCGTAGACGTGCTCCGCCTCCCATCGCAGGAAATCGCCCAGGTCGTGCCCGAGGTTGTACCCCATCGGCACCACCTCCGCCTCCCCGTCCGTGCCCCTCACCATGACGAGGTCCATCATCGGGCTGGGCGGCAGGCTCTCGATGCTCTCGCGGTTGTACCGCTTGGGGTGGCCCTCCATCGTCCACCGCCGGATGTTGCACCCCTTGGTGAGGAACTTGGACGCGTCGAACTTGCCCTCGTTCCAGAACCCGCTCGGGTGCTCAAACTCCACAGGGATCGGCAGGTTGATGTCCGTCGAGACCGACGACATGGGCGAGTACTCGGACGCCGTCGTGCTGGCGCTGACGCTGGCGGGGCTGGCTAGTGCCGCTGCGGCGGCGGCGGAGGAGATGAGCAGGCCGTGGTGGTCGAAGCCGAACTCCTCGAACCAGTCGACCAGGTCCGCCGTCTCTTCGGCCTCCGACCGCTGCGAAAAGTCCGACGGGTCCGAGAAGAGGTCGCCCGCGCCGCCGAGGATGGCCATCTGGAACGCGGTCCAGTCCAGGGTGTCGTCCGGGTCGATCTTCATGCCCTGGACGACGTCGGACTTGGGGAAGCGGATCTGTCCGTGGCGGAGATTGGGGTGGTTGAGTGTGTAGTTCGTTGACTGGAGGAAGACGAAGTCGTCCTCATCGACGGGGGCGAATGTGCGCGTCGCCTGTTTCTGCGTCGTGTCTGAATATGTCGTCGTGTCCGGTGTCGTGATGATGACCTCCGGTATCGTGGGTAGCTGTGGTGCCTGCGGCCGGGGCGCGAACCTCAGCGGGTTCTTCGCCGGTGGAGGGGGAGGGGCGGCCATGTCGTCAATCTCCGCGGTGTCTCTGGTCGTGGAATCCCTGGCGGGTGCGGCGGCGGGCTTCTTTCGCCGCGGGGACTTCTCCTTCACCGAGAAGCGCCGTCGCACGGCTGGGTCGAGGGGCTTAGAATGTGACACGGTGTCGCTGGATGTAACCACCATGCCAACACCTGCCGCTCCTATCCGGCGGGGCAGGTCTTGGAGATGGAAAGGCTCGACGGGTGTCTCACTGCCGTCCGTGTCGACTGTCCTCGCGGTGTCGCTCGAGATCCGAGCCTGAGTCTCCCGGCCGGCCCTCAAGGCTTGAAGGTGGTCTGGTGAGAGGAGCTCGTTGACCTCCATCTTGCGGAAGAACTGGCCGCTGAGGATGTCGACGACTTCTTCTCCGAGCTGCCATCGAGCGTTCTTCTTGGACCGTGACTTTGATCGCTTGACCTTCTTTGACTTCTTCCTGCGGGGTCTGGATGTTGATGAACCTGAAACATTGCGGACTGGAGGGGGAAGGGGAGGAGTGCTGTTCGCAATGGCATGAGGTTTCGTTGACCACATGAGAGGCGAGTCCATGTTGGCGATGGTAGGAGATGATGGACGCCTAGTCTCTGGGGCGTTGAAAGACGAGACGGCGACCTTGGCTTCTTCGATGGCTGTCCCTACGGCCTTGAATGCCTCGTCGGTTTCTCGGATGAGGTCTTGAACATTTAGTGACCAGTCATCCGGGCTATTGGCTGTTCGTGACGCTGAGCTGGCAGGAGTTCCTCTCAACTCAGGATGTTCTCGCGAGGTCCTAGGCTTGGTGTCCTGTTGTGTTTGTAAAGGAGCGATGCAAAGATGTCTTCGGTCCGCGAGACGTTTTGGTGCCGACGAACGAGACGCTCGAGGCGGCGGCCGCGGCGGACAAAGGACGGCATCTCTGCTGTTCGTCGAGGCTGTATCTGTATGACTCTGGGAGCTGCACAAAGAGCTGGAGGACGAGCTGGGTGAAGGCTCAGGCAAGGGAACAGCTTCGGTCGAGGTCCTCTTGATGCTTTGTGTCCTTCGTACGAGGGTGTCCTCCCTCGATGGCCTGCGGGCCTTGGCGTTGGATGGACGTCTGGCCGGCGCCCATGAGTTAAACTTTTGTTGTTGTTGCTGCTTACGTCGGGACTTGAAGATGAAGAGGTCCTCGCTCGCGGCCGAGTCCTCCGAGTGGCGACGTTCCTCCTCGGCGTCGACCGCCTGTGAGCGGCGAGGCGAGATGAACCTCCGGATGCTGAAGCTCGACCGAGACATCCTGATGGGGAGCTTGGGTGTACAAAGGGGATCATGCAGCTGTTCGGGACAGTATGGTTCTATATCGGCTGGTACATTGACATATATGAGGACACGAAGGGGTGAGGGGGGCGCTGTCTCTTTGGGGGCCTTTAACGAGTGACGTGACTGAGAGCAAGACCCATCAACCCAAGGGAAAGAAACAGGACAAAGAGAAAAGAGGGATGGAGGTCATCCGCAGGCAAGGGCAAAGGCCGCGAGGGTTGGCTGTATGTATGTTGTTCTCGATCTGCAAGTACATAGTATCACAAATAAAAGCAAGCGAGCCGGGGGCCATGTTGGGCCAGCTGATATGTATGGTTCTGCCTGCCTGCCTGGCTGTCGTCCGTACGGGTACAGTGTATGTCGAGCGAGCGCAGGCAAGTTGGATGCGTTATCCGGAGGTCCATGGCAGACAAGATGCAGGGTGGTAGTGGAAGTGGTCGATGGGAATGGTGCGGTGCGAGCTGCGGCGGTGCAAGAACCCAATGCGATCCCTGTCTGGTCGTGCAGGCAAACTGCGAGAGGGCGGAGGCTTGTAGGGTTCGTGTGTCTTGCCCATCGGCCTGGGGTGGAGGTGGTTGACTCT